CACCTCTATACGTGACCATCATCTTCCTAATGCCAGGTCTGTTCTGAAATTATAGATTATATGTACAGGGGGTTGTCTTCAGGTTATTTTTATGCCTTTAGTGAGATGAATCAACTCAACAAAGAGTCTAATGATAGCTGTCCCCAGTCTGGCCATGGGATATCTGAACAGCATCTCTTTATGGCAACAGAAAGCCCACCAATTTGTTGCCTTGTCCAATGACTCACACCATCGCCACTGGCATCTGGGCCCTCTTGAGTTAATCTGGCATCAGGATGAGGCTATGCTCCACCCACTACAGCTAAATTAAAGACTCTTTAGTCAGTGGTGCTCTCCACCCTAGGAAATATTTCTGTGCTGTGATCAGATGTTTCTTCCTGATAAATGGGAGAACGCAGCTCTATTTGCCTAATGCAAAGCATACGTTCAGAACTTGAGACATTTCTATGGACCTTTTCAGCTCTCTGATTTAATCAGCTGGAATTAGGCTGAAGCTTTTGTTAGACCTGCAGAAATAAATGCTAAATCCACAAGAACATGCGCAGGACAGACACATCTGGTAATAACCTACCTTGGGAATGTAAGTCTTCCTTCATAACAGAGTCCATAGGAATCTCTCTGAAAATGTCAGTTGTTCCTTCTTCTTCCTGAAAGGAAAGAATACATCAGCTAAACTGTCAATAAGATACAAGGCATTCCTGGAACATGAACCAATTTTTCCAAACAGGCCCAAAGAGTCTGCATGCAGCCTTATATCTCTTTTGGATGATGTTTTCACTCCTCTTTAAAGCCTTAGTATTATATACATAAACAATCAAATGAAAAAGAAACCAGCAGGAAAAGACAGTGAGGCCGCTCTTACCGGGCAAACTTTAACAAACCATTGGGTTCCTTCCCTGTAAACTGCCATTGCTATTCCTTTTCTGCGGACATCGTTCACATAGAAGCTCACAGCATCTCCCACTTTCACAGGAACCACTTCCTCTGCATCCACCTTTGGCTTCTGCTTCCCAAGGTCATTATCCAGCGTGGAAATGAACTGGATTCTGCTGAAGGGCAGGAAGATCCCACAATTCGGCTTACACTTGAAATACTCAATGCCAAGATAGGATCCATCGCTGCGCCCTCTGTTTTCACCCTCATCCTGAAAACATGGCAGAAAGTTATGTCACACTGACAAGCATAAAAGGAAAACAAGCAACTTGCTTTGCTGTCAGGTGTTCAAGAAATGCAGCATGGAGGAATATGGCTAGTGGGTATGATGGGGAATGAGTCAACAGTTGGACTTGATCTTCGCTGTCTTTTCCAACCTTTATGATTCTATGAGTGGTGGTGATGGCCTGATGGTTGTTGGGCTTGATCGGTCTTCTCTAACATCAGTGATTCTGAGTGGGCATGGTGGGGATGGGTTGATGGTTGAACTATGTGATCTTAGAGGACTTTTCCAACCAACCACTAGATCAGGCTGCCCAGGGCCACATCCAACCTGGCCTTGAATGCTTCCAAGATTGGGCATCCACAACCTCCTTGGGGAACCTGCTCCAGTGTCACCACCCTCTGTGTGAAAAACTTCCTCCTAATATCTAACATAAACCCCCCTATCTCAGTTTAAAACCATTCCTCCTTGTCCTATCACTATCCACCCTCATAAACAGCTGTTCCCCTTCCTATTTATATACTCCCTTCAAGTACTGGAAGGCTGCAATGAGATCTCCCTGGAGCCTTCTCTTCTCCAAGCTAAACAATCCCAGTTCCCTCAACCTTTCCTCATAGGATAGGTGTTCCAGCCCTCTAATCATCTTAGTGGCCCTCCTCTGGACCCACTCCAAGAGCAAGGATGCTCTACTACAAGCATGGGCTCCCCTGAGCCAACAGCCTGCTCCCCTACGTGGTACCTGGTAACAGCCAACTGGCATCCAGAGTGACCCTGCGTTCAATGCCATCCTTCAAGGCTCCTGGTGCAGACATTGTGCTTGGAGCTAGGAGGAGCTGGGCAGGGCATGAACCAGACCACAGCACCAACCACTGTGGTCCTTTTCAACCCAGGCCATTCTATGATTCTATGACTATCCAGTTACCTGCAATTCCACTCCAAAGACGAATGGGGTCAACACATTCAAAGTACTTTTCTGAATGCTCCCAATGTAGCGGATGACACCGGGGAAATGTTGCCGGTCGACCTCCACCATCACTCTCTGGCCTGGCACGGCTTGCAGAGCTGCCTCAAGGTTCAGCCTCTCCTGGAAGCAGTTCAGGCGCTCATTGTGGCTGCTGATGCTCAGGAGGAAGGCGGCCATTTCCTCGCACACAGACTGCAGGATTTCCACATTGACGGTGACAGTGGAGCTGTCATCCAGCATGATGACTCTCAAGAAACGAGTTGGGGGTATGTCGGCAAAGTTGCGCAGGTAGCTCCTCTCGATGCAGTAGCACATGTTCCCAGCTTGGAAGTACTTGCTGCCATAGGCACAGTCTTCTGTCAGGATGAAATAGTAGTTCCCATCCCCTACTGAAGGCAGGAGGCTCATCGTCATTCCCCTGGGAGAAATGAGAGAGGGGTGACAAACACAAGTTATCTCAGAAAATTTCAGAGGTTTTCAGAGGTCTTGACCACAGCTTTGTATGCAAGCCCCATCTAGTTGGGTTCTGAGTATCTCCACAAATGGAGATCCCAAAGCCTGCCTTCTGCTTTTTTCCCACGTTAGATTTCTTGCAGCCTAACCAAAATGCAAACTATGGTCTGTTCCTCTCTAATATACTTCCAGCAAGAGCAGCACCTTGCACATCCTGTTCTGTACAACACCGCACAACCGGTTCTGTCTCATTAAGCTTTGCCTCCTGCTTTCTTTTGCAGCTTACTTGCATGAGCAGGGTGAAGGCTAAAGTATTTGTAAAATTCTCCAAAGAAGTGTTCTAGGCTGTAAATAGAGTTCTTCAATGTTAAAGCAGATAAATATTCAAAACACACTGCAACTACCTCATTACAACTTTAAAGCACTAAGATCTCCACTTTAAAAACACGCATACTTGTAAAAAAATGGGATATCTGAAATATAAAAGTACAATTCTGCACATTTTTAAAAATTCAAACTTGATGGTTTTCACACAATTTACCCCCCTCCCTTCCCTCATTGGTACCATTCAGAGACAGGAATGGTACCAGGAACAGGTACCAAACAGGAAACAAGATTTTCTGTTACAACACAAAAAAGAAGTGAGCACTTCTACATCCTGCAAGTGGGCAGGTCAACCCAACCTGCAGATTGCCAATAAACAGAATATAAGAAATGAGCTTCTTTCCAGGAATTGGTGGCATCAGGAAGACAATACTAGTGTACTTTTTTTTTTTTATCTCTACGTACATCCATGTGCGTAGGAGATGCACATATTTCACACAGAATCACAGAATACTCCGAGTGACCCACAATGATCCAACTCCTGACTTCATGTTGTTCCCACTTCATGTTGTTTCGTGTACCTAAATCCCCTACTATATCTTCTTTTATCTCAGATTTTCTCCTTTTTTTTTTTTTTCTGCAAGGACAATAAACTTCACTGTGCACTCAATGCTGTCAGATGAGAAAAACTGGACGAAAGCACTTCCCTAAGCTCTTTAAAGCACACCATATTTGCAATACACTCCCAAGCTAACCAGAAATAAAGGTGCATTCAGACCATTTGGTCTGAAACTCATTTCTCTATGTTCATGAGAATGAAGAAAGCGCTACGCAATTCAAACTACGTGGATTTTAAAGCGCTAAACTGAGGTCTCCATTTCACTCCATGCCCCACCAGCATAGGAAGCAGCAGAAAAGGAGGAGGCGTGGGGTCTCAGCAAGCAACCCCAGAACCTCCATGGAGCAAAGCTATCCTGGAGGTGGGGCAGGGGGTGATTTTGCTGAGAGTGGGGGCTCAGGGGGCTTCACTGACTGAGGGTTTAGTCCAAGGGTGGTGGGGCCCTACTTGGGGTCTGCCCCATAGCAGTTGGGTATTAAGTGCTGTGATGGAAGGAGGGGATGGGGACAGGGTGAGGGCCATCCTCAGGCAATGCGGGGATCGTGGGGGAGAGGGAAGGAGGGGGGGGGGGTGAGGATACTGTGGTAAGAATGGGTATGGGGGAACAACGTGGAATGATGGCAATAACGGGAGATAATCGGGCGTTGGGGCCAATGGGGATGGGGGAGACAATGGGGAACAGTGGGAGGGGGGCAATGGGGATGAAGGGATAACTGAGAGAGAGGGGCGGGGGTTCCAAGTGGGAGGAAGAGGAATGGGATAAATAGCACTGGGGGATATTTGGGAGTGCCGGAGAGGCCCCACCGCGGCGGAGTCCCCTCTGAACGCCTACCCCCAGGCCCGGCGTCCCCTCTTTCTCCCCGTTCTCACCACTGCCGCCGTTCTCTTCCGCATCGGTACCACCGAGCGGAGAAGGAAGTGGGCAGAGAGGCACTTCCGGTTCTCTCCCGCCCCCCCTATCTCCCCCCTACGGACATCCAGCCAATAGAAAGCGGCGGTGGGGACGGAGGAGTCCAATGAGGTGGAAGGGGCGCTGTTAGTCCCGCCTCTTTCTGTTTGCTCTTGATGCGGGCGCTCGTACGGGCTGTGTTCTGTGCGATGCTGTGGGAGCTGCGCTGTCCTCTTGTCCCCCACAGCCTTTTGTCCCCCACAGCCCCGTGTTCCTACAGCCTTGTCCCCATGGTTCTGCGTCCCCCATAGTCCTGGAGCCCCATAACCGCGTGTCTGCGTGGCACCGTCTCCCCAGAGCTCAGTGTCCCGTAGTGCCATGGCCGTGTTCTGTGTTCTTGTGCCTCTATCTCTCCATGGCCTGGTGTCCCATAGTCACATAGCCCTGTGCCCTGCATCCCCTATCTCATGCTGCCACGGCCCTGTGTCCCCACAGACATGTTTCTTACGTTCCCACAGCCCTCTGCCCCATGTCCTAGAATGGGTCGGAATGGACGTCAGCTGTGACCCAGCACTGGTGGAAGAGACGATGGTGGTAGGGTATAAATATTGGCTAAATAGATTTATTTTCATACAAAGAATACACAGATCCACTCCCCCACGAGGGCACCCCGACCTGGGGGACACCCCGAGATGTCCCCAGTCTCTGTTCTCACCAGGGGAGGGAGACAGCAGGCACCACCTCTGTGGGTTTCATGGGTTCCCCCAGCAGGATCGGGCCCCACCCTGGCACTGGGACCAAAGGGAACATGTTGGGGACATCCCCATTTTCTGCACTGGTTCTCTTTTATGCTCCAATGAAATCCTCCATTGGAATTTTGTTTGTTTAGGAAATGCCCCAAACACTGGGACTTAACTCTGGGGATCTGTCTCTATCTTCCTGGGTGAGCTTTGGGACACCCCTGTCCCCACAATGCCCGTATTGGGCGTTTCCTCGCTCTCCTGTTTTGGGGACATCTCTGGACATTTTGGGGTCACGTTGTGCCCTAATACTGTGCTGGCACAGAGCCCTCCCCACACTGTATGTACACGCTGGATAAAAGAAGAAAATACAGATATTTATAGTGGGGGTGAAACACCCCCTGTTGCCCCCAAACATCCCACATGTCCTCATCCCGGTGCCCATCTGTTCCCAGGAGGGAGGTGCCTTATCCTGGGCCAATCAGAGACTGGGAGAGCTCTTCTCTCTCAGTTTCCCCATCAGTTGTTGGGCCATGCCTCAGTTTCCCCATCGGTTGATGATTTTGTCATCATCCCACCAAGGAGATGTGGGATGAAGAGGAGCCATGTAAGCAGCCACCCCACAGGGTGACATGGAGGACATGGGATGACCCAAAGGCATCCTCCAACAGAGAAACATCACAGGCAGACCTACGCAAAACCCCTTTTTTCCCCAGATTTCTCACACACCACTATCACCCACCCTTGGGGACACAGCGGTGTTGGCATCCTACAGCACCTGGTGGCTTTGACAGTGTTGGAGGCTGATATTGGGAGTGGGGTCTGGATTTGACCACCCCACCTCCTGCTGTCCCTTTACAGCGGGAGAGGAGGTGGTGGGGGACGAGAGGAGGGTCTGCCTTGAGCTTGCCCAGATCAGCTGCGCTTGGTGACCATCTGCCGGTCCCTCTTCTTCTTCTCCATCAACCTGGGATGGAGCAGGGAGGTGCCTTTAGGGTCTCACCACCCCAGTGGACCCACCACTACAATGACTCCACCACCCCTATGACTCCACCATCCCAATGAACCCACCACCCCAATGGACCCATCACCCCAGTAGACTCACCTTCACAATGCACCCACCATCCCAGTGGACCCACCACCCCAGTGGACCCACAACTCCAATGGCAACACCCAAAGCTGGGTTATGGGGTGAGCAGGGGGAACTCACTTGCGGTTGCGGACCTCAGTGAGCTCCATCAGCCGCTCTTGGGCTGCTCGCAGCTCATCGAGGCGCTGCTGGTAGCGTGAGTCGCAGTTGTTGGTGCGCTCATAGCTGGAGACCTGGCTGGAGAGCTCACTGGCACGGTCCCGCAGCTGCTGGATGGATGAGTAGAGGTTCTCCTCGTCTTCCTCCTGCCCCGACACAAAGGGATGAAGTTCACGGAGTGGATGGGGATTGATCCACTGGGGAAACGAGGAATGGGTGTTTCCAACTTGTTCGTGATGCTTACCTTGGCATTGATAATCTCAATGTGGATGAGAAGTGCGGCCAGCTCCAGGTCCTCCGTGTAGCTGTTCTTCAGTGGCACCGACCGGTAGCCTGGACACAACACTGGGACATGAGCTCAGCCCCACAGCAGAGTCCCAGTCCCTCGCCATGGTCATAGTTGAGTCCCCAAGTGGCTGATGATGATGATGATTGTGTTAAAGAAACATGTACATGTGGTACGTAGGGGCACGTTTTAGTGAATGTTCTATGTTGGTGGTAGTGAACTCATGATTCTACGAGTGGACATAGTGGGGAATGGGTTGATGGTTGGACTTGGTGATCTTGGAGATCTTTTCCAACCTTTATGAGTCTATGATTCTATGATAATGATGAGGGTGTGGATAAAGGGAGCATACCTGTTTTGAGACCCTTAATGGGGAAGGTGGCTTGGGCCAAGAAATTGGGGTCACTGAACATGTCCTCCTCGTACACCACAAAGCGGAGAAAGGCGAACTCAGGATTATTGATGTCGAAGACAAACTGCTTGAAGAGCCACACGGGGTTGAAACCATTGTCAGCTGTGGGGTAAGGTCAGGGCAGGGTTAGACACATAGACAACACCAACACAACACCACTGTTTCCCTGTTAATGGGGGATGCCTTTCCCTTCTGCTCCTCCTTGAAACTAATCCCCATCACCCACATTTGAGCAGTCACAGACATGGTTGGTCTAGATGATCTTAGTGGTATTTTCAACCTTATTCTACAATTCTATGATTTCCAGTAGAACCCCAGAAGGTGTCTAAGTGACACCACCTGTCCTCTTGGCATAGGAACTAGGTGGGAGGATCTTTACCTACGACATCAGTCTTGTTCTTGCTGTTGTCATACTCAGAGCCACACACCTCTACCTCCACAAAGGGGCACACAATGCTTCTCCCGTTCTTGGGAAGGTGCCGGGCACCAAGAATCTGTGGAAGGTAGAGGAGAAAGAGGAGAGTGAGGTCCAGCCATGCTGGCCCCATGGTCAACAAAGGACTTCCTTGGACAGACCTATGGCTTGGTTGGTTTGAGTCTGCCAAAATCTTCATGACCATAATTAGCCACGTCAAACCTTATTTGTAAGCTCGGACTCATTTTAGCTGTTTCTGCAGAATGATTTGAAAAACTTTTGCTATGTCCACGCCATACTGAAGAGCTGGTTGACTACACACTAACCCATCCCAGCTGTAACACCAAAATGACCCAAACTTTGGGTCAACTTTATGCAATTGTGGGGTTTTCCCCTCAACGTTTTGGAATTCTTCCACGGTCTGGAAAGATTATGCAAGAAAGCAACAGACTTAGCAGATCATGGAGCAATGAACTCCATGGAGCAAATATGGGTCTTAAACATGTAGAAATTGACCCCAAACTTGGTTTGGAAGAACTGAACCCTCATCTCGACGCTGACCACCTTGGAATGAACTTGCCAACCTTGCCCACTTGCCTGCAGCTGCACTGTGATGGGCTCCACGATCTTCAGGCTGTTCTTGTCGAAGGGGTCAAACGTCTCATCCCTCATGATGTCGGGTTGTAGGACATAGCCACTGCGGCCACCGAGCATGAAGAGTGCCTGGTTCAGCTGCATCGGCTTGTCTATGGCCAGGGAAAAAGCAGGGTTCAGGGACCCTCCAGTGGCCCTGAGCAGAAGGTTCTGCCCTCACAAACCCCCTACTAAATCTCCTAACCGTGGGTACAAGTGCATGAAACAACTCAACATTGCATGAGAATATCCCCATCGAGACGGGGACGATGGTTGGAGAGCTCATCTAAACCATGTCCAGCCATGGGATCGGTGGCAAAGCCACCAGGGGTGGGGATTTTGCCACCCTGGGCATGGGATTTACCAGGTGTCTGGAAGTTGAGGGCCACCAGCTGGCTGCCACAGATCCACATAGGCAGTGGGTCGTAGTTGGAGGAGTCCAGGCGCTGCCCTTTGGGGTAGATGCGGCTGAGCTGGCGCCGGTTGTACTGCAGGAACTTCTTGCCCTTGCTGCGGTTGGCATACTTCTCCGCTTTGGTCTCCGGGAAGGAGGACATATCCCGGTAGCATGCTTTGTCTGTGCCAATCTCTGAAAGCATAAAGGTGACCATCAGTGGAAGACATGGGGTTCTGTGGGAGCAATCAGTTCCCCCCAACCCCTTTCTTCCCCTCCTCAACCCATCACTACCCTTTTCCAGCTCTTACTGTCTTCATCGAAAGGCACGGGGCGGCAATACACAACCAGCTCGGAGAGCTCCAGAGCGATCTTCTTCCTCCGCTCCATAATCTTCCCCTCTTGCATCTGCACAAGGGAAAATGGAATCTGAGACTCTTCCATTGACGGGGATGCTCTGTAAACTACAGTCCAATCGCTGTGGGATGGGGCATCCACCAACATCCACTGAAACGGATCAACTGTCCACTAATGTCCATCCACCATGGGATGAGACATCCATCAAAATCCATTGATGGGGATGATCCATCAACTACAGTCCATCCACCATGCGATGAAGCATTCGTCACCATCAACTGCTAGGGATGATCTGTCCACTGGTGTCAATCCATCATGAAATGGGACATTAATCACCACCCACTCCACTCCATCTCCTGGAGATGAGGATGCCCACCACCACCTGCTGTACCCCAGTGCTCCTTACCCTGGCATCGGCGTTCTGCGTGGCCTCCCTGATCTTGGCCACCCACTCGCTGAGCTCCTCCTGTGTGTCAGCGGCCACGTCCAATGACTGGGCTGCGTGGGACATCTGCTGGGAATGGATGGTGAAGACAAATGGTTTGGAGCTCCTCCCGTCTTTGGAGATAACTATAAGGACATCAGAGGGGGCTTTACTCGAAGACATTCCCAATGGATGGCTCTGTGGAGCAAACGAAACCTCATCGGTCCTGCTCCTGGGTCCCTACCTGCCCTCCCCAGCACACCCCAAGTTCCTCCTCCTTTGAGAATAGTCCTAAATATTGCAAATAGTCAAGAAACACTGTGGGAGAATTGAAATCAAATGCTTGATAAACTGTGGTGAATCCCCCAAAAAACACTGGAAGAGAAAGCAGCAACCATGATTCACCAAAATTAATAGTTTCACCTTTACAGACCACTGAATCCCTCTAAATCCTTTCAACATCAGCCAAATGCCTCCAGATTCTGTTGCACTGAGTGACATGGTCACAGGGATGGGCTGAAGGTTGGACTGGATGATCTTATTGGTCTTTCCAACCTTAATGATTCTTTGAGTCTATGAATTCAGCCCCCAGATTGTCCCCAGCACATCATGCCAAGTATGAGGCCCTTCCCTCTCACCATCTGGACATTTTTACCATGCCAGAACAGCCATCACCTATCATCATAAACCCCTTGTTTATGATGAGTTTGGAGAGCCTCAGCTCATGATGCTGAGTTCTTGCTTGGGACATGTACCATCCCTGTTGGGGACATGATGGTGACACTCACCTACGTGGCATGATGGCACGTCGATGAAGCCCTTTAGGAAGTTCCCCAGGGGGCTGTTTTCCGATGACTGCAAGAGAGGAAAAAGGAGGAATTGGTGAAGAGCAGCCCAACCTCCATCCAACCCTCCATCCAGACTTCCAAGTCAGCCAATTCCAAGCAAAAGCCAAGAAAAAAAAAAAACATGCTTTAGGCAAACTCCATTCCATGGAGCATCCCAGAGCCTCAGATAAGGGTTTGCATTGGATCGGTGCTGGGAGCATCTCAGGTGGTCTCAGTGAATGGGAAAAAGAAGATGACAGAAACAGCACACTCACAGCCTCGTCCTGCTCCTGTGCCTGAGTGCTGACGATTTCCTCCACATAGTTGGCTGGGAACCACAGCTGTTTCTTGCCCCCATAGTCCCCCCGCCACCTGCAAGGGGTGAGAGGATCAAGGCAAGAGGACCAATTGGAGGGGTATACGGGGTGTTAATGCTGCATGCAATGTCAAGGAGCAATTGGAGAAGGAAGGGGGAGACAGAAAAGGAGGTCGTTAAAACAGACCACAGGAAGATCCCTGCCTATGGCAATACTGCCCAGGGCACCAGACCACTCTTACCAGCCACCATCCTGCTTGTCAACGTTGTGGATGATGGCTTGCTTGCAGAATGACAGCTCGTCCTCTCGCTGTGCTTTATAGTCATAAAGAGCCTTCACTGTGCACTGAACCACCAAGGAGAGGGATATGTGTTACCATCAAGCTGGGATGCTCAGCTGATATCCTGGATGCCTCACCCCCCCAAATTATGTCCTCTAAAAGTCTACACAGTAAGTGAGACGTTAGAGGGGACACAAGAGCTGTAGGTGTCTGTGGTACCACAAAACCAGCATATTCTTCTTCTGGGTTCCCCATTGTGGAAGAAAGCTCTCAACCACTTTATGTCCCTGTATGTGTTCATTAAATGTTGAGATGTGGCACTTAGGAACATGTTTTAATGGGGTAGTGAGCATGGTGGTGATGAGTTGGGCTTGGGCCTGATGGTCTCAGAGATGAATGATTTTATGGACTTTTAAAGCACAGCCATTCTGGACCAAGGGATTGTAGGGCCAGAGGGAAGGGACCTCAAATCTCCTCCAGGGTCAGCTCCGAGACCAGCCTGGATCTAAAAACACCCAAGGATGGAGACTGTGCCAGCTGTGAAATGACCCTAAATGTATTCCTTTGGGATTCTTCCCAGCACAAAGGTTTCCTTGCTGTTGTGGCAAACTTTTGCTGGGTCTTTGTTTCAGACCTATCTCGTATCTACTGTGGTGATGCTGCTGCTGGAGCTCAAGACTGTCCCCAAGTGATGGGGACATGCAAAGGTTCCCACCAGCTCCAGCACTGCTTAAGGGTCAGAGAAACAGCTTCTGTGGTCCATGGTGGGAGCCATCCAGGAGCCTCAGCAGGGAGAATCACTAAGTCCCATCACCCTGCATCTAACCAGCTCAGCCTCTTACCCTGGCCATTGGCATCTTGTTGGCCTCCACATAGAAATGAGGTGTCCGCACCTCATACAGAGCTCCATAGTCCAGCTCCTGCAAGGACAGACAACAAAAAATGTCATCTGGCCACGGACATGGATTATGAAGAATCACAAGGGAAAATGAGCTATCACATGTGGGCCAGAGGAGTATGATGGGGACCCAATATCCCTTTATAGCTAATGGGAGGGGACTTGTGGATAGTGAAGACGTTATAACCATAGCCAGTGGTGGTGGTTTGAGTTGGACTTTGGGCACATCTCCTTTGCTGTGCAGGAGACTGAAGAAGATCTTCCAACCACAACAAAGATTGGGATGGAGTTGGATTGCCCATGGCACAGAACTACTTCATCCCCACTGTCTCCAACTGTTCCCACCACTGGGAGCACTCACAGTAGTGCCCATCTTCTCCAGGGTCTCCTCATTGATGGGGTAGCGCAGCTTCATCTTACGGTACAGCGGATGCTTCTCGTAGTAGCTGACAAGGTCCACCAGGCTCTCAAACTCAGCTGAGCTGCCCAGCATGAAAAGTCGTCCCTCCTGCTGGATGCGGCAGTGCTTGATCTTCCCCTCCGCCCTAAGGCCAAGAGAGCAGCCAGTGATGTCCCCAGCTCTTGGAGCGGAGCCACAGGGCCACACCTGGCCAGCCTGGAAGTGCTGGGGTGACCACACTCACCGAAATGAAATGGCATAGGAATTGGGTTCGTTCCGTTTTCGCACCAGGAAGGCTCCATCCCGAGGGACTCGCATCAGCATATGCTCAGCCTGCAGGCGTGTTAGGCTGGCATGATACCACCTGGATAGGCACAGCAAGGAGGCATTGGGCTGGCAAACCCCAAATCTGACACCAGCTGCACTGGAGTCAACGTGGGAAGGGACGAGGATGGTTGACCCAAGGGTGGGATGAGTGGTGGAAGAGGATGGTGGACACAAGGACAGGACAAGCAATGAAAGAAGATAGTGAACCTAATGGTGAGACAAGTGATGGAAAAAGATGGTGGACCCGAAAGTGAGACGAGAAATGGAAGAGGGTGGTGGACACAAGAGTAGGACAAGCAATGAAAAAGGATGATGTACACAAGAGTGGAACAAGTGAAAGAAGAAGGGGGGGACCCAAGGTAGCAATGGGCTGGGTTTCACCCTCACTCTTTGCTCTCGTGGGCATTGGGTTGGGGCACGGGGTCGGTGAGGCGCATCTCAAACTCATTGCAGCGGAGTGGCACCTCACGGTAGTGGCAGATGAGACTGTAGAGGCTGTCAAAGACCAGGTTGTCTGTCAGGTAGAACTTGGTGGAACCAGCCTCCTGTCGCGAGTGGATCCTGCAGTGCTGCACACGGTTTGATCGCCTGCCATGAAGGAAAAAGGTGGGAGTGAGTCAGTCCAGATCCATGACTATGCCATGCCATGCTTGAGGATGGTCTGGATCAGGGCACCACAGTGCTCAGAAAAATGGTGTTTTCCCTCAGAACACCATTTCTGCCTCCAAACTGGGGATCTACTGGAGGCAGCCACCACATGCTTGGTGTGCTGCTCATACCAGCTTGGGAAAGATGTGATCCTGCCATCCACCCCAATGGAGATTGAACTGGGGTTCCTACCAGAAGGACAGGGTGTAGTCACCCACGAAGGTCTCGCTTTCGCGCACCAGGAAGGTGCCATCCTTGCCTCCTGTCTCAGTGCAGTATTCATGCAGCAGCTTCTCGGCGATCTGCCGCCCATCACGGCCACCTCCCAGCTTCCCATGGAACCACTTCTCCGTGAAGTGCAGCTCGTTGTTGTTGAACTCCTATGAGTTCACACAGAGACCAAACACACTTCAGTGTTAGTGTTCCCATGAGCAGTTGTCGTTGATCTTCTCTCTCTCCTCATGCTGACTCCCAATATCCCCGAATTTCCCCACCCCATGGCTGCATCTTGTCATACACACACCTCCTTCTGCTCCACCTCCTCTTCATCTTCATTGAACTGGTAGCGTGATGTCTCCTCTGAGTAGTAGATCTTGTTGCTTGTCAGTACAAAATAATGCGGGCTCCAGGTCTGAGAGGGAGGAATAGCATCACCAGGGTAGGGAGGGTGGGGGCATGGGGAGATGGGGCTTTGAGACTCCTGTTTCTTCCCTGCACCCCCCATGGCATTGCAACAATGCCTCATGCCCACCCCAAACTCCTGGTCTCTCCCCTCCCAGAGCAGCCCCATCTGACACATCCTGCTCTGCCCCCAGCCATCATTGTATGGAGATCCTTACATGGTCAATAGGGTCTTCGAGGTAGAGGATGCCATTCTTTATGGAGTTGCTGATGTCGTTCTCTGAATAACTGGCAGTGGAGACCTCCTCATATAGGTTCCCTTCAACCAGCTTCTTGTGCTGAGGACAGCCCAGAAATAGGAACTCAGCAGCCCATCGTGCTGAGCTCCCATCCCTAATTCACAGATCCACCATCACCACCACCACTCACTCCCAGTAGACCTCTCCTTGCACAGAACCTTGAATCCTATTTCTTGTGCATGGAGAGGGAATTGCTTCTAAGTCCCAAGATCTGGGGTAATCATCTTCCCTCCCAGCCCAATGCAGTTCTTGTCCCTTCTGCAAAGAGCTTTGGGTTAGTGTCTGGCCCCACACCTTGATTAGGATCTTCTTCTTGAGTTGGGTGGGTGAGGGCAGCTCATCAGCGTTGATGTCAACTGGCTTGGTGAGCAGCATGTCCCCAAAGACCTTCTTGAAGTGGGAAGCCATGTTCCTCTGCTGGACGATGCTGCAGTGGTCTTCAATGGAGAGGATGATGGGGAACCTGGAGGAAGCAGGTGGGAAAAGTGGCTTGAGACGAAGATGAAGAAAAGGGGAATTTGAGCAGCGGTTGCCTGCCCAGCCTAGAATTGGGGTGCTTTGGTGAGGCAGGGCTTACTCAGATGTGACAAATGCGTGCTCCTTGATGGTATGCAGCACATCCAGGAATTTGATCTTGGAGGTGAGTGTGTGACCATGGTAGATGATGGGGAGATCATCTGGGCCATCCCAGCAGTCCACTAAATAAGGAGACAACTTGGTTAACACATGTTGCTCACCAAATGTGCACCAGAACAATGTTGGATATTAGAAAAGACTTATTTTCTAAAAGAGTGGTCAAATGTTGGAACAGTCTGCCCAGGGAGGTGATGGAGTCACCGTTCCTGGAGGTGTTCAAGAAGTGTGGAGATGTGGCACTAAGGGACATGGTTTAGCAGGCATGATGGGGATGGGTTGGGGTTAGACTGGAAGATCTTAGAGGTCTTTTCCAACCTTTATGATTTTATGAGTGGGCATGGTATAATGGATTGATAGTTGGGCTTGACGATCTTGGAGATCTTCTCCAACCTTAATGATTCCATGATTCTAACCCCCTCTCCCATTTGCCATGGAATGGGTACAGAGGATAGTCCATCTAGTGCAATGTGAAGTACTGGGGAAGCTCAACATCACTGCAGTGTGCCATGGAGTACGGGGTGGACTCACACTCAATGCAGCGGCAGCCCATGCGCAGGCAGCGAGCATACGCTTCCAGGGAGGACTCACTGGAGAACTGGTCTCCTGTCAGGTACCTGCAGAGGTATAAAAGGGGATGCTTGAGAAGGGATTCTCTCGGGGATCACCGAGGTGAGTCCACCCTGTCCTTACGTGTTGTGGGAAGAGGAGATCCAGTACTGGGACAAAGGGTGGTTCATCTCCTCAGGCACCACACGTTCATACTTGGCGTCCATCACCATGTTCTCTTTGGAGAAGAGATACGTGAGAAACTGGGGGAGGGAGAAAACAGAGAGGTCAGATTTCAATGGGATGGGGAGATCAATGGCAGGGGTCAATGCTGTAGGGGTTCACTCACCTCATCCAGTTGGAAGGAGGGTTCTGCTGCATCGATGGAGCCATCCTTGAGGTAGGAACACATATAGTCCCTCACCATGCCCACATCACTGGCCCATGGCTCCTGGGGTGCAAATACAGCTGCTTTTATGGGGTGCAGCAGCTGGGAAGGGGTGTCCCAAGGGATTCACCAGGTCTGGGACTGAGAGGGGTCTCAAAGGACAACCAACCTTTTGGTCGTGCAGAAGGAACTTCTGGAAGTCATAGAGGGACACCTGGCACAGCTCAGGGCGGTCCACATTCCTGGGGCATATCAATAGGAGGTGTTGTCCAAGGTTATGAGGAAGAGGTACTGCACTACATCACTACATCCCTGGTTCCCATTCCTGCTCACATCCCCACCCACGTTCCTGCTTGCATCACCACTCATATCCACAACCATATCCTGCTGTTGCACCCCTGGCACACATCTTCACTCACATCCTTGCCCGTATCCCCACTTGCATCCCTGCTTTCATTTCGACTCCCATCCTAATTTGCATCTCCACTTGCATTCCTACTCACATTGGTTTCCAACCGCATTTGTAACCCCACTCGTTTTGTTGCTCACATTTCCATTCACATTCCCACTACCATCCCTGCTTTCATTCCAGTTTGCATCCCTACTTCCATGCCTGGTCTCATTTATTTTTGTCTCTATCTACATGACCAGTCGCATCCCTGCTCTCATTTCTGTTCTCATCCCCATTTATAACCCGACTCACATTCCTGCTCATATCCCCATTTGCATCCCTACTTACAACCCTGCTCAAATTTCCACTCACTCCCATCCCTGCTCCCATTTAAATTTGCATTCCTATTGCATCTCTGCTCTCATTTGTTCACACTCCTGTTTGCATGACCACTTGCATCCCTGTTCCCATTTCTGCTTCCATTCCAATTTGCATCCCCACTCACATTCCTGCTCACATTTCCACTTCCATCTCCATTTGTATCCCTGCTCCCATCCCAAACTGCAACCCCACTCCACCCCTGCTCAGATCCCTGCTAGATGGGAGTCTGTGGGGCTCCTGGAACTCACCGTAGAGGGAAGGAGAGCTCCAGCTGCTCAATGACCTGCAAGGCAAAGGGGGGATGGGCTGAGCTGGCTAGGGACATGCTGTGATGAGCTGAAGTGAATGGGTAGTGGCTCTTACCGACTTCTGTGCATCAAACATCAGATTTTTGTAGAACTGGATGAAGTGGGAGAAGGTCATCTCATTCCTGGCTTCCACCTCCTGTGGGATGGACGGTGTGAGAGTGGGACTGGTGCAGAGACACTAGGTAGGGGCTTGAAGCCCCATTCCTCACAGAGCCAGGGACTTACCACGAGCTTGTCCCGCAGGAACCTCATGTTGGGCACTCGGTAGTTCACCTGGGGCAGCATGGCCTTCAGGTCCTTCACTGTAATGCTGCAAGACAGAAAGATGGTGTCAGAGAAGCAACCAGACCTACATGTCATGGATCCCCAGGACACACTGCTAAGTTGAGCCCTACCCAAATCCCAGTATCAGCCCAGATTCCCGTTTGAAGTTGCAGATTCCCACAATGGCACAGCACTGTCCAATTTGCTCCAGAGGCATTTTTGCTCTTTATGATTTAGAGGACTCTGGTGTAATTATAGGAGTGCTGAGTAGGGGGTCAGGGAAGAAGGGTGTAGCTGGGCATCTGTCCCACCCAGAGACTATAATTATCCCCATCCTCATCCCATGCCCATCCTCATTCTCATCCTCATCCTTGTTCTCATTTTCATCCTTATCCCATCCCCATCCCCATCTTCATCCCAACCCCATCCTCTTCCCCATCCCCATCCCCATCCCCATCCCCATCTCCACCTCCATCTTCATTTCCATTTCCATCTCCACCTCCATCTCTATCTCTATTTCCATCCCTATCCCCATCCCCATCCTCATCCCATTCCCATCCTCTTCTCATCCCTATCCCACCCTCATGCCAATCACACTTAAGTCCAAATTCCTTTGTTCGGATTTTATTTTATTTTTTATAATATCAAGGAGATGCCTATGGGTTGCACTAATGGCCCATTCTCTCCCAGTGTTGCAGTGGGCATGGGGATATTCAAGTTCCCACAGTCCTACGGGGACTGTGCTCCAGTCTCTGGTTTTAGGTACCTCTGAGCACCCCAAATAAACCATTACTGCCTTGTCCCACACCCTTGCTTTCAGCCTCCGGATCTAGGGTGGGTACAACCCAGTTCATGGCCACCAAATCTGGTTGATTTGCAGGGTTGGGCAAAAGATTTCAGCTATTTCCCCTCTGGAAAACTCCCTGGGAGAGGGGTAGGTGGCTTTTGGCTGTTTCACCACTGACCCCTTTTCCCTGTAGAGCCATGCTGGTTCTCACCTGCCTTCCCGTGACCGGTCCATCCCATCAAACTGTTTCCGCAGCCACCTGGGAGAGAGGGATGGACAGACAGACAGCGCTCAGTCCTGGGGGACCAAACTCATGGTTCATTGTTTCAGACCACAAGTGAGGATCATGAAATGGAATTGACCATCCCTCCTCACCTCTCAATCTGCAGTGGGGTTTGGGCTTTCTGAGTGTCTGCCACCAACCAGTTGAGACCTGTGATCCACAGGTTGATGTCTTCCTCACAGAAAGCTAGAGGAGGAAGAGGAGGTTGGTGAAGGATAAGGGAGATGAGACACTAAGGATGGATGGAAGGGGTGAGGTGGGAGCCTACGCACCAGCCACGCTGAGTGTCCGCAGCCTGAAGTCCATCCCATAGAGGATGATGAAGCACATGGTGAAGTCGAGCTTGCGAGCATCCTCGGGGTAACGCTCAAAGTCCCGTGAGTTCTTCCCCAGGCGGATCTCCTTGATCTCCCGGATGTCAACTGCAGAGACAGAGGGGCACAGGACTGTCCTGTGTTACCCTGACACCACAGAGCCAGGGAGAGGGAGCAGGAGGTGAGAACATGTGGAGAGTATGGAGCCTTGACTCCAAGATGGGACATCCCATTGGGCTGTGATGGTTATTATGGCCACGTGTCCCTCAAAGGCAACATGTCACTGCTGGTGGGATGGGCATGTCCTTCAGAGATCTCTGTCCCCAATATGAGGCATCCCGTTGGCACTGCCCATTAGTACATGATGGCATTGAGTGCCAAGTGTCCTCCTTGGACTGTGTCCCCAAGATAAGATGTCCCTGCAGAAGTCTGAGAGCACCATGGGTGCCACATGTCCACAGGATGAGGCATCCTGGGGGACTGGGATGGGTACTATGACCATGTGTCTTCCAAGGGAGACATATCCCCACAGCCCTGCCATGACACAATGGCTAGTGTGATGGCACCATGCGTATTGTATGTCCTTCAGAGAGTCAACTCCCCAAAATGGGTCATCCCAGTGGCACTGCCCATTGGTACATGATGACATTATGAGTTCCATCTGTCCTCCAGGGATTGTGTCCCCAGAATGGTGTGCCTTCATGATGCTGCCTAACAATTTCCCATCTCTCTCAGTGCCATGTGTACTTGGGACTCAGCCCTGCAATCCCTACAACCACCTCCTTTCTGAGAAAAAACTTGGGACAGGCTGAGCTCATCTTTTAATAGAATACGACTGTCCAAAGGTGGCAATTTGCAGCCCAGACCGCAGGGCGTTTCTTTCCTGCTGTGCTGCTCTCTCATTATCTCACTATATAAAGCCCAACCGGTGGCGGGAGGGTTGGGTTTCCGGACCGCAGTCTTCCTCACTGCTACATCACCAGTGGAGATTTCCATCCACTGGTTTTGTAGAAAGGACAGCAGGAGTAGAGTAATAATATCACGGTATTAATGGCTGTGCTACAAAACGGAGCCTTCAGCACAGGAAAAGGGTTTTGTATGGCCAAGGGTGGCCGGACACTGCACAGGGTCATTGTCCTGCAGGAAATGGGTCATTTCCCGGAGAATTTCCAGCCCGGCCCCTGCAGCATTTCCTACATGGCAATAGGGATGGGTGCAGGGTACTGGAGCAGAGAAAAAATGGAATGCATGGATAAGGGATAAGGGATGAGGGGGAATGGGGCTGATTCAGTGAAAAAGAGGTGGGGAATGTTTTTTCTTGGCGGAAAGGCACTGGAAAACACTGGTGGCTTTATGCAGCGTTCCTTTGGGTGGATGAGAGCCAGCTTGGGCGGATCGGGGCATGATGCGGGCACTCGGCTGCAAAGAGGTGCTCAACTGGTGTCTGCACCCATATGTGTGATTCTGGGGAAGGGAAGCTGGCTGCTGTCCATGTTTTGTAGACCCTGAGTGCAAATGGGTGGATATTTGGGGCTGTTTTAGGATAGGAATAGGAGGAACTCCCCCAACCCTACTCATTGCAGTGCACTGCAGAAAGGAAGATGCTGGTGGCTATTGTGGCTCCGTTGATGGTTGCCAATGCAGCCAGGATCCAGGCTTGGACCCAGGAGAGGGAGCGTGCAGCACAGTGCAACGTGCTGGCGGCTTCCTGGAAACCACATCTGCAGCGGATTTGCAGCGATCATGGCAGAAGTATGTCTCCAAACTCCTCCCTGCATTGTCTCCGGGGTCCTGGTGATTAAAACATGCTGGGAGCCAGATCCAACTGCAAAAATCCCTTTTCTCTTCTCATGCAAAGCAAGCAGCACTGATACAAAGGATTTAAATATAGGGGCAGTGTGGTTGGGAGTGGATGGAGGGTCTTTATGGAAGCTTTTAAAGGCTGGGAGTTTCCTGAGTGCATTAAGAGGAAAGCAAAGAAAGGCTCCAGGAGGGAATTGGAGAGCTGGGAAATGTTGCTGGTCCAGGTGGCCAAGTGATATGCCCTTGGTCCTTCCTTTGGGTGGGGTGTGGGGCATGGAATTCCTCCTGCATGGAATTACCCCATGCTATTGTGAAGCTGACCTCGAGGCTGAAATAAAAGATTTTGCCTGGACCAGCAGTGTTAATCCCATCCTATTTCTAATTGTTGGGATGGAGGCGTGAGTGTATATTAGCCATCATCATAGCAAACCATACTGCAAACCTCCCTTCCAAAATGTTTTTGGGTTGGCAGGGGCTGGAAACCACCTGGTTACCTGGAGGGAAATTTTGAAGGCAACACAGGATGATATCGTAGCTCCTCATCTTAACTCTGTAGTGTTCTTGGGGACCCTATCTACATGGACACATGTCCAAGTAGCAGCTTAATGAAGCGTGTAATTAGACTGAAAGGCATGGGGCATCTCCAGCAGAGCTGGGATCCCCGTACTGCCCTCTAATAGAGACATCAGCACTGTCGGGTATCTCGCTAATCCCTTCTGAAGCTGAGAAGAGGATTTGGAATGGTCCAGGCAGGCGTGAGGTTGGGCATATGCTGGGAACGAGGTTTTGGAACTTCCCTAAAATTCCAGCAAGCAGGAGGACACGTGAGCACAGAATGGGGATGGGCCATGTTGGTAAAGATGCTCCAGGATTGGGGAAACTGAGGCAGGAGATCAGGGTCGATGGAAAAGTAGGGCTGAGATCCTGACGTGGCCCTATGCAATCTCCCAAATAAAAAACAAGGAGCAGGAAATGCGTTATTTCCTCAAGCAGAGAACAAGCTTTTCCCTGCAAAGGCCATAGGGGAACCACTGGGGACAATGGCCAGTCCTCTGTCCCCTGTGGCTCCCTGTGCATGGAAGCATCCCACTATTGCCAGGCATCCCACTGCAAGAGATCACCCCAGTTTAACAGAAGATCCCAATGTGGCAGGACATCTCACTGTGGTAGAACATCCCACTACTGTTAGCTACACCAGTGTGATAGAACATCTCATCATAGCCAGGCATCCCACCATAGCTGGGCATCCCAGTGTGGTAGGACATCCCACCTTGGTAGAACATCCCACCATTGCCAGACATCCCACCATAGCCA